GATTTTATAAAATCAGAAGATGAAAAAAAAAAAAAAAGAAAAAACAAAAAAACAAATAAGCCGTTAGATGAGGCGAGGATGAAAGGAGCGTTTGGTTTAGAGATCCTTGCAAGCGATACGAAGCGACATCGTCTGATGCGAATTCTCATCATTTCCTTGTGCCACGTGAGCTTGCAATGTGATATTCGTTTGGATTCTCACATTAGATTTTTTTAAGGAATTTTTAATAGTTGAATTTTACAAATTAGTATTAGCAGGATAGAGATACCCCAATACTTCAGTCAGCTGCAGTTCATAATGCAGTTCTTCAGCTATATAGGCAGTAACTGTTCCGCTTGCTTTGACAAATGCTGCACTACCTGGTGGTCACTCTGTTGGACTTTAAAATACCTAATGCTAAATTTTACTTAGGGACTTCGTTAGTCATCCATTAAAGTTTGTCATCGTAAATTAATCATCTGTGGGTATAAGTTTTAGCAGGAAATCTCTTTACCCCAAATACAAAACAACACCTTCAGTCCTCATAGTGAGTGAAACTCTGGAGGAGGTTTTGACTTTTACCCGTGGTTTCAAGACTCGGCCATGTGTGCTCTAGATTCAATGCTGGCCAACTGGTCACATTTCCTGCAATAGTGGATGACGATATTTTTGCATTTTTCAATAAAATATCAATGCTACAAGCATCGTTTTGCAGCTATAAAATGCAAAATTGCATCATCAGTGATTCAGTTGCAAGCTGGATTTAGCAGCATCACTGCCAGATGTGTTCACGCCGGAAATGACGCTGCCTATACGAAAAATAGGAAATGGCAAATCCACTGGCATTATTTCAATTTTCAAAACTATGTGTTATGAAAATTTTAGAGATATAAACAGTGAATATCTGTGACCAGGAGATTGGAGGAGGAAGGAAGGCTTAAAATCGTCTACATATTAACACATGCAGTAGATTTCCGGCAAGAAAAGTACTTACTCGCGCGCAGCCGAAGCAATTCCCAAATCTTGCATAGTTTATCCTTATTGGCACGTTATATAGAGCGTAGAGTTAATTTTTGCTAAAGTTACGATTTTTGGCGTTCTCCTCGCTTTATCTTCATTCACCATACAGTAAAATCCACTCGTTGAATTAAAATGCAAGTACTTAGAATAGTGCCTCACTCGCTCGTGACAACAATACCGTACCTCACCTTCGATGCCCATAAAGAAGTTACTGTTCGTCAGGCTCACATGTGTTAAACTCTTTTCTCGCATCTCTTCCTGCATTGACTTTTTTTCCTTTTACTGTCTTCCTACTCTTTTTTTAGAGGTTATATTCACCGCAGGTAGCAGGCTATATAAATAATTCCCACTGCTCACACTCTGTTCCATTTGTGTTTACAGCTAAGGGATGAAAACGGACTGCCCCTCGTCATTTTCATTGGCACATACGGTATGTAGATCGAGTCCATTATTTCTGATCAGAATACTTCACGCTCGTGTTTCTTCCATCTGCGTACGCTTTCATCCTGAAAGCATCTGCATGTTCGTGACTCGATTTTGCCTTTCGAAAGTGACCAGAGAGGATAAACTCCGTTATATTCATATTTCAGCGAAATCTTCAGCTTCTGAATCTTGTGCTGCTTTGAGTGCTGCTCGACTGTGAGTGACAACAGTGAAATAGATAATTGTGTACGATTAAAATCTGACAGCGTCGAGAATGCTTCTGGAAAAATTTCCTCCGTTTAATCGATTTGCGTCCAAGAGACACGGCGAGTTCGAGGATGAGGATGATGGACTGCCTGAGAACGAGCGTAATGAGAATAACCGCCGGCGTCAAGTACGTTCCCATTCCTCCTTTAGCTCTTACTTTCACAGTTTCGGGTTGCTGCTCTGAATAAGGGAATGTATTTTCAGATTGAAGAGATCTGCCGTCCTCTGATGCTAAGCGATGCCGACTTGAAGCGAGTCATGGAAGAGCTCGTCAAAGCTATGGAAACTGGGCTCGCTACCGAAACAGGTACGTTCTTTTGCTATACCTAATCGGTTTTTCCTGGAGGGCAAAAAACCAGTTTTTCGTTATCGTGCTACTTGTGCGAAACTACGTCGGAATCCAAAAAGCCAAAGTTTCAGTCCGAGATTTCTGAGCCAAAGGTTCGATAGTGGCTGAGACTATGCACTCGAATACTGCCCGGAAAAATGCATGTAATCTGGTCCTGTTAGCAAAAATTCAGGCACATCGACGATCTCGGTAGTTTATATCACGTCTAGTTATATGTTACCAAATCCCCACATTTAGAGCCGGGAAAATCGAAATGAAGTCAGGATACAACTTCAGGATTTACTAAGAATATAATGTTGTTGCCGTTTAGCTCCACGAGCAGCCGTCAAAATGCTCCCGTCCTT